ACTTCTTCATACTGGTGTGTAAACTTCTTGTCTCAAACAGATGAATCAGTGTTGTTGGTATACTTGAATGCATATATATTGAGACACTTGGAAAAAAGATATTGATACTTAGCAGAATCACACACACACACAAAACAGTGACTAACGTTTTGTTTTTCCTTCCTGAAATTTTCAATTATGAAACACTAATATCTTCAGAATTTTCTGCAATCAATTAGCATTTTGACAATGCAATGGGTAAGATAAAGGAGTCCTTCTTATTCTGTCCCTATGTCGTATGGAAACTGTCCAAATAAATACTATTCCCTGGCTGGGCTGGGAGGTTGTTGTTAGAATTGGGTAATACTACTTTTCCTATCTCACTGTAATGTTCAGACTGAAAATATCTTTAATTCAACTCACCAAAGGTATTTTGTAATTTCATTACACAGTTACTGAGAACGATCAGGTGCGTAAGGCTAAATAAAAGAAAGAAGCTTATGGGTACTAATTAGAAAACATTTCCCCAACAAGCGAAAAAATACTCCCTGATTCATCTCTGGTTACTGAAAGGTTGGCACAGATATCTTCTTCTGTGTTGAAGGTTTAATAGCTATCACAGCATTTCATAAATTTAAACTGGAATTGAAAAGCTTCTCTTGTCTCCGAAAGAAAAATAGTCACGTATTACTTACGCGGTAATTACAGGCTATGCAGCTGCCCTAAAAAGCATTACTATAAATGTGTTAAGCATGAACCACTACACAAACCTTATTCAAATTTCATTAAATGTTAAGCCAAAGAAATGTCATCCTCCACACCGCTCCATACAATTGCTTGCCCAGGAACAATGGCCATCTCCCTAGTCTGAGACCTAAATAATGTAATAGAATCAATGTTGTTGATTTAGGCTATGGTTGGTTAAAAGTCATTACTGTTATTCCTCACCAAGTAAAAAGGTCTCTTTCTCCCTCATTATGCATAAGTGAAGCTTATGCTAATTCATACGGATCTAAGAATAAATAAGCTTCTTTGAAATACCATTTAAAGATTGGGAATTCAGGGGAAAGTACATGGCTTCTATCATGATCAAAAGACTGACCTCAATTTCTATATTGCACTGATTCATGCTTTAAGCCTTTCTAACATACCATTTAAAGCTTACACAGCACTTGCATCTGCCTGCTACTTTAAAAATATTTAGCCGGTTACACAAGCAGTACAGTAATATCATGCCAGTAATAGAAGAATAAAGAGGCCAAAATTAGGAAAATGTTTTAAAGGTGGAGTAAGATTTCTCAAAATTTCAGCCTTGTTTTTAAAGCCCTTAATATCACACATTCTAAAAAAAAAAAGAAAAAGAAAAAAAGAGATAGTTTTAATGCATTTTGTTGAATTCTTATGTGTTACTTAGATTTGGAAGCAACTGAACTGGGTGGTATTTGGCAACTCGAATAGCAGCTAAAGATGTGAGGTTTATGATCTAACATCTATACCAAATGAAAAAATACAACTACGCTTGATTGTGTTTTATTTTACCTTATTTCAAAAATTGTACTTCCATTAAAATGCAATCCACTCTTACAACTTTGTATTTTTGAATCTCCTTTCAATTTGATCTTGTTTAATGATTATTAATGGACAGGGCCATCAGTGATGTCACATGGACATCCTACACTCCCCTGTAGGATGTGACGAGACAGCACTTCATTGCTGAAATAGCCTTTCCAAAAATATATGATCTCAGTACCTTCATGAGAAAACATCAGACAAATCCATATTTGGTGGACATTCTATATGCTATCTGGCCAATATTCTTCCTCAAAACGTTCAATGTCATGAAAATCAAGAATGACTGGGAAACTATTACAGACCAGAAAAGACTAGGGAAGCCTCACAATTACCTGCATTACCCTGCAACAACTAACTAAATAAACAAAAAACCTGAAGCGCATTCTAGAACAGAAAAAAAAAATCAGTGGACAAACTAGTGACACCCAAATAAAGTACAGACTTTATCAAATTATTATGAATCAATATTTGTTCATTAGGTGTGACAAATGTACCACAGTAATGTAAGACATTAACAACAGAGGAGGAAGGATGTGTGGTATATAAGCACTCCCAGTATTATTTTTGCAACTTCCCTGTAAATTCAAAAGTATAAAAATTAAAATTTTATCTTAAAAAATGACAAGGTAATATACTCCAATAAATTGAAAATTAGCCTTTGTCTACACCAGGCTTAATTTTACTATATAATTAATCTCTAAATCTAATATCAACACTTTAAAATTATCCATTAAATGCTTTAAAATTTGAGGAAAATTGCTGACTATATATAGAGAATGGACACCAACAATTCAATTCTACAAATTCTCCTTGATTTTTTTTTTAATTGTGGTAAAAATATATATAACAAAAACAAAATTTGCTACTTCACCCTTTTTCATATGTATAATTTAGGGGTATTATATATACAATTTAGGGATATTAATTACTTTCATCATGTTTCATCACTATCAATTTCCAAATTTTCCCATCACCCTTAATAGAAACTCTGTGCTCCCTTAAGCAATGACTCCCTCTTTCTCCTTCCCTTTTGCCCCTGGTAACAACTCATAAACTTCGATCTCTACATCTCTGCCTGTATTAGATATTTGTCGTAAGTGGGAGCATACAATATTTGTCCTTTTGTGACTCATTTATTTTATTTAGCATAATGTTTCCAAAATTGATCCATGTTGTAGCATGTATCCGGACTGTGTTTCTCTTTATAACTGAGTAATATTCCATTGTACATATAGACCACATTTAGTTTATCCATTCATCTGATGATGGACACTTAGGATGTTTCCACCTTTTAGTTATTGTGAATAGTACTGCAATGAACATTGGTTCTCCTTGCTTTTTAATTGCCATTTCTTCTCCATCGAGAAGGCAGCAGGAGTCTCACATTCACAAATTTCTCCTGCTAACGACTAACTTTTAAAGCTAGGTGTCTGGCAGCAAAGTGAACAAGAAGCACAGAGGCAATTTTTGCTATTACCATAGTTTTCCACATAACACGTGCCTTGTACCTTTGTTTGCCAACTGCTCCCTTTCTCTTGGGAGGGATTTTCATATGTGCTGCTATGCCAATTTTTTTTTTACATGTTCCTGCCAAAAATAAATAAATAGCATAGCGAGCTTATGAAAATCCCTGGGGTTGCTGGGGGAGGGGCGGTTGGCAAACAAACATAGAAGGTGCATTATTTGCGTAAAAATACAGTACTTAGGCTGAAAAACTAACTGAATTAATTTTTTTACTACTGACTTGCAAAGAACCTCTCACTATTTAAAATGTTTGGTCCATCTGAAGACAGTACTGTTGATGCTGTGACTTAGGAAAGCATAGCATAATAGACCTAACCCATACCAAAAAAAAAAAAAAAACCAAGACCACTGCCATCCAGTCAATTCTGACTCAGAGCAACCCTACAGGACAGAGCAGAACTGCCGCATAGGGCTTCCAAGGTTGTAATCCTTCTCCCTGGAGCAGCTAGTGAGTGCAAACCACAGACCTTTCAGTTAGCAACCAAGCACTTAACCAGTACACTACTAGAGCTCCTTATAATAGACCTGATGATACGAAAAACTGAGATTTTGAAAATGAGTGTTTAAGTTCAGGGAAGTATCAACAGTGTTGCCAGTGAAAGTATGCAAAATGTATATATATGACTTCTGTCAAAGCATGCTTAAATTTCAGCCAGTTGAATAAATTTTTTTTTTTTAAAGGATAAAATATAGAAAACAAAGCAGGATCTGACATTTTATATATACTCTATGGCTGCTAACCAAAAGGTCGACAGTTCGAATCCACCAGCTGCTCCTTGGAAACTCTATGGGGCAGTTTTACTCTGTCCTATAGGGTTGCTATGGGTTGGAATCAACTTGACAGCAAAGGGTTTCTTTTTCTTTAAATGATTGTACCAGGAGTCCCTGGGTGGTGCAAAGGGTTAACGAGCTGGGTTGCTAATAAAAAGGTTGGAGATTTCCTGTCCATCCAGAGGTGTCTCAGAAGAAAGGCTTGGTGATCTACTTCCAAAAAAATCAGCCATTGAAAACCTCATGGAGCACAGCTCTACTCTGACACACACGCGGTTGCCATGAGTTAGAATCAACTCAACAACAACTGGTTTACTGGTAGTAGGTAGGATTAGAAGGAAGGCCAAACAAATCTTAAGGACAGAATTGCTCATCTGCAGAGAAAAAAACACTTGAACAATTTACTTGGTCAGAAAAGATAAGGCCTTACTTAGGTGAAAAACACGAAATAGGTAAATTTAATTTTATAAGAAGTGACCAGGGTTTTTGGACTTTCCCTGGAGAGCGGAGAGATTGGGTTTTATTTGGCAAAAGGAAGAACCGAAGAGAGACAGAGCAGAAAGGTCTCCATGATGACATGACAAGTGAGAAGGTGACAGGAAGTCCCTGAGTGAGAAACCCCCTATGCGGATAGTGATGTTGACTACTTGTTGCCTTTCCAGTGCTCTGCTGAATATCTGTCTTTTGCCCCAGACCTTAAAGTCAGCCATACTCAGCAGTCTTTCATTAGTGATGCTTTGCGCATTAAAGAAAGGCAGATGGTCTCCAGTGTGGAGTCTGAAGCATCTTGGAAAGAGGGCAGAAGGTGAAGGAGGCCAGTGGAGTGGGTGGTCAAGAATTCAGCAGGAACAAAACATCAGATCTAGAAGGGGCCATGAGAAAGAAAACAACTCAGGAATCCTTGGTATTTGGGGATACAGATATAATCAGGGATCCAGCATGTATGTGGATATTTAAAGAAACAGTTGACATTAAAAGTCTAGAGGACTTTAGTATATACAAACAGCAGGTATGTGGCTTGCATATGTAAACATCATGTGTAAAAATAATACACCAAGACACAGGAGTGTTTGAAGGTAGAAATGTGGATACTTTTTTCTTTTCTAATTCTTCAATGGTTGTCTAAGAATTGTCTGTCCCTAGGATATTCTTACCTTCCTCTTGGGAAGTCTGCATCATCCTTTTTCCACCTCACAGTTGGTTGAGGATCTCCCTGGACCTGACATCGAAATTCTACAGCTTCTTCCTCCAGCACCACCTGGTTAATTGGTCTCCTGAGAAATGTTGGTCGTTCTTGAGAGGAAAAAAAAAAAAAAAAGTAAAATGAAATGAAATTTGCATGCTTTAAGTAAATTATAGAAAAACAAAGGTAATAGTGGCTTGTTTTTGGTACATAGGTACCTAAATCTATATCTCCACTATGTCTTCATAAGGCCTTATGATTCCAATACAGTTGAATGGAATGGAAAATTTTGGAAAAGAAGAATAGCTATGGTTTGTATGTAAGACTATACAACTTTAATTCTTTTATGAATTCTTGACCCAAATCATGTAGATCTTTAAAAAAAAAAAAAACACAACACTAAATTGTACAGAGACAACGAAGGAGATTTGAAAAATGATGACTTTATTATAATGGCTCAGGGTGAGAAAACTAAGCTGAAACTCATGCAGAATATCAAAAAGGAAATAAATGTGAATTCCATCAAGAATGCTAAAGGAAGAAACAAGTTGTGTTCTCACTCATAAGTGCTATCTGAATTTTCCTCATCAGGCTAGCATTTGAAAAGGACCCAGTTCTTCCATGAATGTTTTCACTTCCTGTATGGAAAACCTGTCTATCTGGGTTTTAGCTTTTGTTTTTTTTAAGTACATAAAGACTGTCATTATTAATTATTGCAAACTATTTACTGGTATAGATTATTTTCTAAGGCCACCTCTAATCATTTTTTCCTAACTGTTCCAGATTATTTGTCCATTTTTACTTTTCTAAACTTTTACGTTTCTCTCAAGTATTCTGTTTTGGTGTTTGTCTTTTGTTCTTTTGTTGATCCTTACTGTATTCAAGTATTTCTCTATATAAAGCAAGGGGAAAATAAATCCCTGTCTATAGAATCTACCATTTAAGAAACATAAAAAAAAAAGTAGTTTTACATATATCTAAACACTTCAAATCTTTTCTAGTTTCTTCCCTTTTTGATAAAGGCCTGGCACTAGAAAAATCACCATTTTAAATTTGTGTTAGCTCAAATCATAGGTGTTATGGATTGAATTGTGTCCCCCAAAAATATGTGTTGTAAATCCTAACCTCTATGCCTGTGGTTATAACCCCACTTGGGAATGGGTTGTCTTTGTTGTAGTCATGAGACAGGGTTAGTGTAGAGTGTGTCTTGAGTCAATCTCTTTTGATATATAAAAAAAGATTAAACAAGCAAGCAAGTAAGCAGAGATGGCGGAAGAGAGATGCCAAGCCCCATGAAGATAACCCAGGAGCAGAAGCTAAAAGAGACAATGACTTTCCTCCAGATTTAACACAGACAGAAAGCCTTCCCCTAAAGCCCTCACCCTGAATTTGGACTTCTAGTCTCCCAAACTGTGAGAAAATAAATTTCTGTTTGTTCAAGACACCTACTGTGGCATCTCTGTTATAGCTGCACTAGATAACTAAAACAATAGGTAAGTCCAATATTGCTACTTATGGAAGTGGAAAGAGAACTTAGTCAAGGAGATCCACAGGGAGTTGACACAATTAATCTGGCGATGTAGCCTTACTTAGCCACTTAGTACTTTAGTTTCAAACCTCTAATCTAGAGTTTTGAATACAGTGGCACAAAAACTGAAACATATTTAGCAGGAAGGCTTTTATCCTGAAAAGAAAAACAAATGATTTCAAATAATATATGATAATGATCTAGAATGAGAGTATATGATTTCATTGACTACATTAATATCCATACTTAAAAACCACATGTGTAAATTGCAAGCACAATATTTTAATGTTAATAAGTCCAACCATCATTGGCATTCAAAGGAAAGATAACTATTTCTTTCCACAGAGGGTTTGACAGTAGTGGTCAAAACTTTCTCCAAAACACAGACCTGCCTATGCTCAGGTATCTGTACTTTGAGACCCCAAAATTCCAAGTTATAAAACAAGACAAATGGGATTTTATCATGGAAAATATATAATTTAGATTTTACAAATAATCCATAAAAAACATGGAAAAACAAGGTTGCTTCTAAAGGACATCAGATTTTAGGTAGCCAGGATCAATAAGTAGCAAAGTGTACCCCCAGACAATAGAACAAATTTGTCATGTTAGATGGAATGGTTTGGTGCTATCCTTGTGAACTCTGGATAGTATATGCCCACAACAGCTATTTCAGTGCTGGCATAGTTGATACTGAGCTCTTGTTTCTGGCATTAACTAGGCAACAGAATCAGTAGCTCCTTGTGAGTGCTCTGAATGTTAACAGTGAAAACAAGTCATTAGCATAGGGAGCCAAACTGACGTATTCTGGGCTATCACATTATAACAGGTTACCCAATTAATCTAAAAGCTGTATTAACCCAACATTAACTAGTGCTAAACCGCAGTTCCTATCACTTGAGATTGACAAGTGATCTGTGAGAAGGAGATCCTCCTGCCCCCTTTGATTTGAATGGGGGTATCGTACTATACACCCTGGCATAAAGACGAGTGAGCTGAGAGAAGTCCTTCTCTCATCCGTAATTCCATTAGCACATGCTATGACAGCCTCTTCTATGCTATGAGCTTGTGTCTGGGGATTAGCCAGTAGCCTGGTTTCATCGGAAAAGTGGTGGGAGTTAAAGCTAGTCAGATGGTGAGCGGCAAGACCAAGAAGGGCCTTGTAGCCAAGTCAAGGAATTTCAGGTCTGCCTTGAGAGTGACGGAGAGCTATTGAAGGATTTTAAGAAAGAAAGCAACATTTTTAATGAACATAAGAAAAAGACTGTGTTGGCAGATCTGTGAAAAATACATTCGAAGATAAACTTGAAGTAGTGAATTGGGTCAAAGGGTTATTGCAATAAATTATTTCAGTTTAAACTGATATAGTAGCTCTGGGGATACGGAAGAGATGGCAGACTTAAAGAGATAGCAAAACTGGGTGGTCAATCAATTGTGGAGGGTGAAAAAGAAAAAGTTAAAGAAAATCCCCAAATTCTTAGTTCAGAAACTTGGAACAGATTGGCACATAAGGTGTGGATGTGATGTGTGTGGGGGGTATGTGTGTGTGTGAAGATCCTTTCATCATAGAGACGTAGGCATGAGGCAAATGAACCCATATGCTTAAGCCATTGTTAGTCGGGTTTCCGTTACTTGAAGTCAAAAGCATTCCTAATTAACAAGATCAAGAAGGCTACTTATATAATAGAGGCAAAAGGAAAATAAATAGGGTCATATGTGTAGATGCAGAAAAATTCCTTAGATTAAAGAATCTAAATAAAGAAGGAATCAAAAGAAACTTCTTAAGCATGATAAAGATATTTTGTCTGAAATTACATTAAAACATAAGATACTAAACACGTGCCCATTACCGTCAGGAACAAGGTGAATATGACAACATTAGAAATCAACAAGAAAGGGAAAGGAAATGTAAAGTACTGGAGAACAACCAAAACAACTATTTCTTGCAGACACTCTGCTTGTATTCCTATTTAAAAAAGGAAAGAAATATAAAAGAATTTTGAGTATAATATTTTTAAGTGACCAGATAAAGAATGGAGCTCTGGTGGAGCAGTGGTTAAGAGCTCGGCTGCTAACCAAACCAGCTGGCAGTTCAAATCCACTAGCCACTCCTTGGAAACGCTATGGGGCGGGTTCTACTCTGTCTTACAGGGTTGCTATCAGTCAGAATTGACCCGATGGCAATGGGTTAGATAAAGAATAAAGACCTGAAGAACAATAACTTTGATAATTGATAAAATATAAGAAGTACATAGGATCATTGGTGCATTATTGGTAATATTGGAAAATAGGGGATTTTTGGATAAACTGTGGCAAATTCATAAATTAAAAAGCTGTTAAGTCACTGGAATGTTAAAGCTACCTATATGATATAAAAAATTTTCATGGAATGCTGCTGAGTAAACAATAAAAATTGCATAACATTATAGGGTCGCTATGAGTAGGAATCAACTTGACAGCAATGGGTCTTTTTTTGGATGTGAGACTAAGGAGCCTTGGTGGCTTAGGTTCTAAGAGTTCTGCTGCTAACCTAAAGGTCGGCAGTTTGAACTCACTAGCGGATATGCACGAGAAAGACGAGGCAGTCTGCTCCCGTAAAGATTTATAGCCTTGAAAACCCTATGGGGCAGTTCTACTCTGTCCTATAGGGTCCCTATGAGTCGGAATTGACTCGACGGCAATCAGATGTGAGACTAGTTTCATTAACACACACACACACAGGTATAGTTTCAGTCAAAGTTTTTTGTATCCTTCCCTTAACAAGCTATCAGTCACATATCCCAAATTATAAGTACAATTAGTTTGAAGGGCAAACTTTAGATATGTTCCAAAACTAAAGTTGCTTCTTCCTCAAGGGAACACCATCTGGATCCTTAAGAGTTTTTTGGTTATCATATATGTTTTAAGTCCTACATGTTTTATAGGGAGACAGGTGGAAGCACCTGATTTATAACTTCAAGAAGCAAGTTATAATCTCCTGCTGCTGTTCTGATGAACTCAGCAGGGGTGGAGAACTTTGCAATGAACCTTCTCTATTCCCTTCTGCCCTCAAGCAGAGTCCAGTTGCTTAGCAACTGGAAAACCACCAGAGAGTGTGTGGTATAGAAATTTTGGCAGTTTGTCATTGGCTTTTGGAGTAAAATGTAATTGAATAGATATACAGAAAAAGAAATGGGCAACGCAAAGAATGACTGATGAAAGTCACCGGCATACACATGACACATGAAAATGAGTATCTTAGGTTCTGTTTTCCAGAAAAGTAACTTTAGAATTCAATGATATATTGGAGTTTGGTCACAACTTGTAAAGTATTATTCTGAGAATTTCCATTTTTCTAAATCTTATTTTGCTTATGCCAATTGTTTTATGTTAACGACACTAAATTCACCTTCTGCCTCACAACTGTCATAATTGCCTATGAAAACAATGTGCTCAAAACTAAGCTTGCCTAACATTTATTAAATAGGATATTTTGTGTAAGAATTATTTCCTAGTTTCATTAACCAGACTTTAGCCCTAGAAAATCTGAGAAGAGAATAAATATTAAAGACTAAAGAAGCTATAGAGGTCATACATGTATTTTAAACGCTTTCCATTTGCAATAAGTAGCATTATCATCAGCCAAACACAAAGCCAAGTGCCTTTCAGGTCCAAACTACAAAAATTACAAGGAAATGTCTTGGTTTTGCCATTTTGTGTCAAAAACTTAAAGCTAGAAAGGACACTGTACACTACTAACTAAATACCCTATCGAGTTTGAGCCGCATGAAGCTCTACACAATTAAAATAAATAGACACAAACAATGTTGAACTATTGAATAGCAAGGAATGTTAATTTTACATGTCAAACTAAGGTCAGTTATTTTTGCATGTTATCACCCCATGTCAGAACTCAGACTGAATAAATGGGGGGAAATCTTGACGGTTGTTTGCTGTCTGCTTATCAATTAGATTAGAGTCCCTCTGAATGGCTCGATCTCTAAGTATATAACCATGGAGTGATCAGAGGCAATGTCTTTGCCAATGCAATTAACTTTTCTTGTGTGTGAGATTAACTGGATTTGAATCACCTGCATAGCTTGCTTACACGGTTAATCTCTCATGAGACACTTGTGTTGTTTGCCAGTGTGGTACTCTGTGAAGTACAGCTCTCAAGTAGTCAGGTCAATTTAGTTCCAAATTAGCATTCTGAAAAACCCAACTTTATATGATGCTGTAATAAAATCAAATGCCAAGTCTCACGGTATAATTAAACATTGTAGTTAGGTCAATACAATCCAGAAAGTAAACATATACAAATTAACACAATACAGCATAAATCTAAAATGTGGTTGCATAATATCCGTGATGTTTCTTATTTTCATGCTACAATGGAGGAAATTAAGTACCCAATGAATAAATTTCTCTTTCCAACTTCATGCAGTCATTGAAAATAGCTGTAAAATTGCCAATGGCTGTGCCATGAGAGCTATTGCCAGGATGACCTTAAGAACTTAGAAGTAAACTTTGCTTGACATTATAAACGTAGTGTTACCGCAATAATTACATAGGTAGAGTCCTTTAAGTCCTGTAAGACCAAAGCTATGCAATAAAAGGCCGTTAGCACTAACCAGGGCTTGTAAACCTTATGTTGACTTCAGCTGGCCCTGACGGACCTGCCATTCTGTAGACTTTATTAAATTAGGAAGTCAGACAGCTAGCCCCAGTATGCCTCCCTTTATTTAACTGGCCATATATAAGGGGAGGGAAGTATAATGGCCATTGAATGTGAATTATTGCAGTTTTGTGCCCTTACAAAATGTGTGGATGACCATGATCAGCCCATCTGAATGTGATTAAATAAATCCTGACTCCATTACTTTCTTTTCTTGCCAAGAATTTTCCTGTCTGAGAAAAATCATCTTGTGAAGCAAAGAGGTAAATGTTTTTTTAAAAAAATGTTGCTCTCACCGTATTTTAGAGGCAAAGTTTCATGTTATCGCTGATAACGTGATGGGATAGTCCCCCTGACAGCAGGGTTCCTGTCTATCAATCCCATGCTATATTCAAGACTTAGACAGGACCCGGCACATTGTAGGGGCTCTGTACATTTTGTTGAATGAATGAGTGGGTAAGAGAAATTTTTGTTTTTTTTAAAGTTTGCAAGTAAACATTACTTAAAAGAACTATATTGCTCCCAATAATCATCTTGATTTTCATAGCTCCTTATGTAATAAAATATGGTTGCATGTTTTGAATAGCACTGCGTTCTCTTAAATGAAACCAAAAAAAAAAAAAAAACCTGTTGCCATTGAGTCAATTCCGACTCATAGCGACCCTATAGAACAGAGCAGAACTGCCCCATAGAGTTTCTAAGGAGCACCTGGTGGATTCCAACTGCCGACCTTTTGGTTAGCAGCCATAGCTCTTAAGCACTACGCCAGTAGGGTTTCCCTCTTAAATGAAGGCCACAGATAAACAATTACGTGTTTCCTAAGGTTTGGGTCTGAATTATTTTCCCTTATAGTTTTACATATGAGTATCTCATATAGGCCAGGCCATCAAGTATTACATCTCATTCAATGACTGAAAAATGGATATCACCAGCCTTAATCTCTATCCTTATCCCTGATAAAATGGCCAGTTCCTAGTCTGATCATCATACAGTTAAAGCCATCAGCTGACATAGTTTCCGATGGTCTTTTTAATAAACAACAATTAAACATGAATGAAGAAGAAAAGATCATTTGCCATTTGAAGAAACACTCCAGATTTTTAAAATATAAGTTGCAATTTTCAAGCTAAAAAACTTGTGAGCCCTTTACTAAAGAGTCACCATACTTGAAGGACAGAGAAAACTATTTTCTCCAGCAATATGTCTCAGAAAGCAAATGGCTGTTGTATTGGAAAATACCTTTTATTCCTGTCATGATTTTTCTCGTCATCCACAAATGAATTACGTCTTGAACAATTAAACATCATCAGTTACTTTCTTCTGTATAACATATATCTTAAAGGAAAGATTCAGTTATAATGAATATTTTAAAAGCCCCTGTAACTAAGAATGGGTAGAGTGGGCAGATTTTTAAGAGTGGAATTGCTGCTGTATGTAAATAAATCTGATGAAGGGTGGAGTGTAATGGAACCAGTTTTTGCTTTTGTAAAGATTATGTCAGAAATAACAATACCTAACAAGAAAATATAAAGTGGTTCATTAAAAACATGTACTGAGGCAATAGTGCCAGAAAAAAATAAGGTGGGCCTCATTATAAGCAGGACCTAACTTATTTTATGTTCCCTAAGGACTAGGGAGTCAAGATAGACAAGAGGTCTCTCTTGTTGAATATTTCTTACAACCTTGATTCAGGCCATCAATGCTGTTTTTGTGTGTTACTTCTGGGTTTATAGTTTGTTTCCCCATCAGTAGCGGAGTTTTAGTTTTTCCCTCAACTTAATATTGTACTTACAGGAGCCCTGGTGGTGCAGTGGTTAAGTGATAGGCTGCTAACCAAAAGGTCAGCAGTTCAAATCTACCAGCTGCTCCTTGGAAACCCTATGGGGCAGTTCTACTCTGTCCTATAGGGTCGCTGTGGGTTGAGATCGACTAGATGGCAATGGGTTTGCTTTATTTGTGTGTGTGTTTTATTTTTTTTTTATAACCCCTCAGGTCAGTCTGACTAGTTCACACCATCAGATAAATGCTTCTCGGCTTCTTAAATCAATTTTTCCAGAGGAACTGTCTCTAGAGAAATTCAATCTCTTTGGTTTCCAACTATTTTCAAAATAATTTAGTTACAAAATAATTGTAACTCCTCACCTTTTAAGGATCTCCTATAGTTCTCTTCATGTCTTTAGGAAACGCTAGGTAAATATTTCAGAAAACAGTTACAATAAGTTTAATTGCTTGGGTCATGACATTAAACCTTTTCAATTTCCTTCTGAAGGCAATATATACTACCTATTCCTATTCCACAGTTTGTGGTAGTTACAGAAAAAATAAAGATAAGTGTTTCTTTAAATAGAATAGCTGTATTGTGGGCTTTCAATGGTAATGTTCAGTGACCACTAATTTCACATCTTACCAGGCAAAACTGTCTTTTATTCATTAGCGAGTGAAGCGTATTTTCAGACTCTTACAGATGACTGTGTGAAAATTAAGGGCAAACTGATATTTGTCTGAGCTCTGCAGGACAGGAATTTACAGGCATACTTTGAAAAATTTTATTTTTACTATTCAATTCGTTTAACAAATTATAGTATTTCTCCTGGCTTTGTCATTTTGAACTTCAAGCTGCTTAGTATCCACAGGGAACATAACCAGAGATTACGTGGTACTCACAGTGATTGAAAAGACAGGCTTGCACTCTTGTACATATTCATAAAGCACAATTGTAACTCACTGAACATAATGTAAATCAGAATGTGGCTCTTCCCCATTATGACATGGGATAGCAAATCCCAAAATGCAGAAGAGCTTTCTTTAGGGACCTATGTAGTCATGGTGCTACACTTGGGCATGTCCTGAGAAATGATAAGAAATAGGGATCCTTTCATATCACTCATAGAACCCGAAGACTATTTTATTGGCACAGAGAAGCAATTAGAGAATTCCAATGACCTCTTGCATTTAAAGAAAAATAAACATATAATATCGGCAACAGGGAAATGCTTTACTAAGAGATATGGAGATATAAGTGTTTCTTATATATAAGAAGGAACCGTGGTGGCACAGTGATTAAGAGCCAAGGTAGACAGTTCAAATGCACCAGCAGCTCCTTGGAAACCTTATGGGGCAGTTCTACTCTGTCCTATAGGGTCCTATGAGTTCGAATTGACTTGACAACAATGGGTTTGGTTTTTTTGGTTTATATATAAGAAATTTATATATGAAGCAAGGGTTTGCTTTTAATATTTAAAATCAAAGAAAGAGTAAAAGCAGTTTATAACTTAAAAGAGAGTTTTACCAAAGACAGTTAGCTCTGCTGGATCACTGTCTCTTTCTCCCACCATATTGGTGCCAACACAGGTATACATCCCTGCATCACTTTTCCTGGTATTGGAGATCATCAGTTTTCCACCACGAATCTGTTAAAAATCAAACAAAAAGAAAAGAAAGTGGAAAGGAAATACGGAAGGAAAATTCATTAATAAATAATTTTGAATATTTATGTACAATGTTTTCTTTCTAAAAACAAACAGATTAGTGGCTAATACACAAAACTCTCTCACTAATTGGGCAACTGCATGTGTCCTTTCTTGTCTTAAATGTACCCTCAATGGAAGCTTCCATATTCCCTTGCTAGGAAATGTTTCACTAATGAAGCCTTTCTCTCTCTACTGAGTCCTATTTCCAGTCTTACGACTGCTCCCTCTAAATCTCAATGGTCTTTCTTCACACTGAGATTCTGCTGAATGAATTGTTATTGTCATTAGCCATCAGCAAGGAACACTAGAAATCTGCTGTAGATAATGTAATGAAATCCAGCTGATTCAGAGGGATTCAACAAGTATTTATTAACTATCTCTAAGGGCTGGGCAGTGTTCTAGGCACTTGGGATACCGTAATAAACCAAATATTAAAAATCTCTGTCTTCATGGAGCTTACATTTCAAGTTTTAGTATTATTATCTTTGTCTCATCTTAATCGTATGTAAGGGAGTTTTTTGGTTAGAAGGGCAAATTGATTGAAATATATATAATAGATACATTTTAAATGGTGAGTATGGATTGGTACAAATCATTGGCTTTTAATAGGTGCTTCGTAAGTGTGTCTTAAAAGCATTTATTGACAAAATGAACAAATGTAATAATATTGAAATACCCATTTGCTAAAGAGGACGTTAAAGCAAAATTAGGTTTTTAGTAAGTGTATCATCACTCATAGCTTCTTTTCCAGTCTTTTGTGTGTTCATCAGATTTAACAAACATTACTTTATAACGATGGAGTGTTCTTAAAGAGATACCAGATAAGTACATGCTGGTTTTCTCTGATATTTTTTAATTCTGTAGGAAAACAAAACTCATGTAGGTTTAATCTCATCAGAGATATTTCACACTCTAAACTTGTCATGTCATAGAAAGGAAATTTCTTTTATTTTTTTAACACAGGAGAAATAGACCATCAACCCAATCTTTGTTATTTCCAGTAGAGCATAATGGTAGGTTATACAATGGCCAATGGAAGTAATTATTCCTCCCCTGGAAGCTAAGCTTGGTAATGTGACTTACTTTGACCAAAGGAACCAAAGAAAATATTATACCAGCAGAAAGTTGCTCACACATTGTGACTTGCCTTTCCTTGCTACAGTTGGAACTCTGAGACCACCATGGGAAAGCTAGCCTGAGCTAGCCTGCTGGAAGATTAGAGCCCATGAGGAGGAAAACCGAGATGCTCAGCTGAGAGTCAGCCAATTGTTGGACGTGTGAGTGAAAACCAGTTGCTGTTGGGTAATTCTGACTCATGTCTACCCATGTGTATCAGAGTAGAAATGTGATCCACAGGGTTTTCAATGGCTGATTTTTTGGAAGTAGATCTCCAGGCCTTTCTTCTGAGGCATCTCTGGGTGGACTGGAACCTCTAACCTTTCCGTTAGTACCAAATGCATCTGAATCACCCAGGGGGTAAGGCTATCCAAATTCCCTAGCTGCCAACATACATTTAAACAGGCCACAGAAGCACGAGAAAGCCTAGCAGAAATCAGCTGCGCTGGCCCAGACAAAAACTGTCCAGCTGACCTAGAGAATCATTGTTTAAATAAAATGGAATTACAAGCCATTGTGATTTGGGGAGGTTTGTTATGAGGCAAAAGCTAAATGCTATACATATCAACTAAGAGCCCTGGAACATTGATTTTACTCCATCACCAAGAATACATTTTCGTGTTTCGTGCCAAACTACAGACCATCAGAAAATGAATTCTCTTTGGCACTGTAGATACTCAGAGTGCCAAAAGTCAAGCCAGAGACATATGTGTATATGTTGTGATCCCTTACACAGCCCATCTGCTTCTGTGTCATGTTGGAATCACAATGTGCACGTAAGAAAATTTCTCATTTATATTTTTAAAGATAACAGATATTCAGACTATACAGACTTTAATTGTAATGACATGGTTGTTCACTCAAATAAGAGACTATTTTAAATAAAATATATTCACTCTAAAGTATCGTATCGAATATAAAACATACAACTGAATAACATCAGAAGGTTGAGGCATTAGACACTATTTCAGTGAACTGGTTTTCATTTACAAATTTGGAATGGATCTTCTGATAGAATAATATTATTACATGCCATTCCCCTGCTTGATATCTTCATCAGTTTCTGGGTGTTTCATTTTGAATCATAATCACCTGATTAACCTGATTTCCCTTTTAAAAACAGACTATTTTTCTACATGAGCTAAACTGTAGAATCAGCCAGCTATTTTCACTTTGGTTTTATTTCAGATCTACTACACTTGTTTTTAATTAATCCCTGTATAAATAAATATCATTTAATTGAAAAAATTTTGAAAACAGTGGCCAATGAAATGTTCTAGTTAATCTGGTTTATGACCATCATTTACAGTTTAATGCTCATGTATTGTATAATCAATAGACACACTTGGAGATCTTATAAAGAGCTAAGATATCACTATTGCACTGTAAAGTTATTTTTACATAATTAGATTGGTGCAATTATGAATATATCACAAACACTGGCATGCATTTTTGTCTCTTGGAAGCCTCATCCCAAAATTCATTTTTTTAAAATAATGTTACCCTTTAGATGCTGATAACTTTTGGTAATTAACAATAAGTACAGTTCTATAATTTTATTAATAATAAATTAAAAAATACATCTATGTTAAGACTTGATATTCAATTTCTCTAGACCACTATCTTTATTTGACTCACACTTATTCTCTCTTCCTTGTCGTCGATTCGAACTTTGTCTTTTTTCCAGTAGATGGTGGGTTCAGGGTGTCCCCGGGGAGGTTGGCACTCCAGGATCGCAGGCTCTCCAGCTGCCACAACAACATCTGTGGGGTTTTGCCGGAAGTCATCTCGTAACACTGAAAGAGAATAATTACGGTAAAAGAAAACTCAGTAACAATGACTTTAGCTTTCTACCGCAAGAGGTAACTTCAAGTCTTATTTTACTTTGTGCTGGCAAAAAAAAAAAAAAAAAAGCCAGAATATGTACTGTGAGTATAGCCATGACCATCTGAAAATATTCTAGAGCCTTCCTAAATGCTCATCAGTAGGGGGATGGCTACAAAAATGATAGTGAAGCTTTGTTCAGAAGCCCTATATGAAAATTGATACAGGTCTGAGGAAAATAAGTTGAGAAATATTAGTGATATGGTATTGAGATTTGAAAAAAGCAAGATGCAGAATGGTTTACATAGTATGATTCCGTTCTCTAAAGGACAAAACATATACCTATATAAATACATGAAAATAGATGCTAAAGTTATATTAAAACCCCAAAACATGTCACAAGAACATTGTCTGTAAGCACGTATGTGTGTCAGTCTGGGAGGGGAAATGAGGTGAGAACTCTTTGAAAAAGCTCTTTCTCATGACATGAATATGGACAACAGCCACACGTTTTCATTACACTTCAGAAGATTGCCTCACTGTTCACCCTTGCAACGCACTAGCACCCACATACACAGGGCTACATTTTCATTCTCTCTGCATCTCCACCTGCCGAGCGACATCTGGGCAGCGTGACTTTCTGAGCAGAGATATCCCTTATAGCAGTTTTGCCAGTCTGAATTTCCCCTCCTTTCATTAAGAACAGCAGGTTGGACCTCCGTTGCAACCTCCGAAAATCTGGCATGCCTGGCTCTCCAAATGTCACCTAACTGCTTGCGCTTTTCTGCAGTTGGCAGGATGAAAAGCCTGGAGAAGGGACTGGGCCCTTATCGGAAGGCAGGACCCTGGGTTTATTTAGCAAATAAGGGCCGTATCTACTTCAGGGTAAACGTTCAAAAAAGCAGTTGAGAGCAGTTAATGTACCATATACCCCAAACTACCCTAGCTTTACTTATTCTTTGATATTCCAACACTGACAAGTTTGTTTCCAAACTGTGCCCAGGAGTAAAACACACACACACACACACACTACACGTGTGTGTGTATGTGTGTGTATAGGATCCCTGGTGGCGCAACAGTTCAGAGCTCGGCTGCCAACCAAAACATTTGGTACTGCGGAAGAAAAGATCTGGCGATCTGCTTCCATAAAGATTACAGCCAAGAAAACTCTTTTATGGGACAGTTCTTCTCTGTCACATGGGGTCACTATGAGTCCAGATCAACTTGATGGCACCTAACAATAACAACATACGTGCATATATATGCATATATATATATATATGGCAATGGTAGTTCCGTGGTAGAATCCTCACCTCCTATGTGAGAGACTCCAGTTCTGTTCCAGCCAATGCACTTCATGCACAGCCACCACACGTCTGTCAGTGGAGGCTTACATCTTGCTATGATGCTGAACAAGTTTCAGTGGCGCTTCCAGACTATGATAGACTAGGAAGAAAGGCCTGGCAATCTACTTCCAAAAATCAGCCAATGAAAACCCTATGAATCACAACAGTCCAATCAGATCATGGAAATGGTCCAGGACCAGGCAGTATCTGGTTGCCACGAGTTGGGGCTGACTAGAAGGCAGCCAACAGCAATGTGTATGTCTGTGTGTAATTGGTCAAGCTGTTTGGAATCAAAATTAGGCAGCTTGTGCTAGCCTCTTATGTAAATCATTTGCTGCAAATGGGGATTAGGTCAAACCAACTGCCTTCTGTGTCCTGTAATGAGACCCACTTCAGCACTGTGCTTCTTTGTTGTGCCAAGTCTCTAGGTTAATTGTCATTCTCCAAATAAATAAAAATCCCTGTCCAGAAAATAGCTCCAGAGAGACAACTGAGTGACTTTCAAAGCTTTTCTTTTCTTGCCTTTTGCAACACATCCTTTAACACAGTTTTCCATCTTAAATGAAGTCATGGCCCTTTAGGAGATTAGAAAACCCTGTCTCATATTGGAGCAGTAAGAAAGAATTCAGCACAAATTGTTCACTCTCAGTTTATAAGCTGATTAATTTACTGCTTTAGCTGCTAAGGAAATGTGTTCCATTTTAGCACTGTGAACTGCACATTTTTGGTCCCCTTGCCTTGTCTAACCGGCAAGAAAGGTGTGATTTATATGCATAGGATTTGCTTTTGAATGGGCTGAGAGAAGTGTGCATTTAGATGTGACATTCAGCCAGCGAGAAGGGGTTAACACTGTGGTTCCCTCTTGCAGGTAAATTCTCCAGGGAGAGCAAGCTGGTGACTTATTTATATTCTAAATACAGAACAGCTGTCTCTTTATGCAATGTTAAGAGGTGCAAAAATATGGTAACAGGATGATGAGCAACCCTACAATATCCGCTACTGGCAACAAATGGTGTTTTGGCAGGTCCTCAATCTGTCCCAAAATGGCACATCTGGCCAGGTGAAGGGCCTTCTCCGGAATTGGTCTCCTAAAAAATGACATGCCAAAAGCCTCAGCTCAAAAGGGACTTAAGATCAGGGGAAATCCTTTAAGAAATGCAGTATTGCTGAATTGCAACAATCTAAATTAAAGGTAAAAAAAAAAAAGGCCTTTGACATGGAGGACAAAAAGGAAAAAAAATCATAACAAACTATCAGGACTGCTCCTGTTAAAACAATGTAACATGTGTTTATGGCATTCACGAAAAAAAGAAAATGACTCCAATTTGCAAATGAAGCCAAGAAATCTAACATCAAGTGTAATTTCAGGCTTTCAGATTATTCACCTCGAGTGTAGGGTGAGATAATGGTATAATTGGTACTGTACCCTCTTCAACTTGTAAAATGCTCTTTGGGGTTTGAACAGTATTCAGTGAACTCATTTTTATTTATTTATACCATTTCTTTCACTCCAAGTCTTTGTGGTAGTAGAATGTGATCAGGTTCTCTCTCTCTCAAAACGTCCAAGAAATAAGCATTCACTTTTCGGCAGGTTCTACAGCAGCAAACGATACTGGAAATTATTCTTAGGAAACAGTCAAGACATTTTTCCACCTCTCAAAGCGTAAAGATGGATATATATGTTCTGATATTTGCTTATATGGTTCTGAGGTTTGGGTATCTACTTATAAACATGAGCAAAGAAAAATGAAATAATATTTATACGTCCTACTTTGTGTGCTAATTATTAATTTCTTCTTAGATTTTGCCCTCCTTAGGAAAGGATTCATCTGGGTTGAATGAAAGGAACTAAAATGGTCTTGGAACTGTAGAAAAGCAAAGCAAGCCCAAACTGAATCTATACTTCTTGTTCTTCTTAATCGCCTATCCTAGAAAGAACTGACAGCTACATTTCGAGCGTGGCTTGGCTACTAACCGAAAACAAGCACGTGCAGCAATATATGTATTATTTAAACCTCCAAAAAGGTCTTTAAACAGAGTGAAAGGAAACAAATCTGATGTAATGGGAAAAAGAAAAAAAAAAAAACTGGTTAAAATGACAAAAGCAGAGACAGTAGGAGTAGGAGTAAGTTGTACTACAAAGAAAATGGGCATAAATAGGTGTGCTTTTTATGTAGTACTTGTTTGAAGATCTCAGTGTAGAACATAAGGTTACAAGTAAAGGGGGGGGACTGAAGAAATCTAAATGGCTAAAGGAGGAGCCTTAGTGGCACAGTGGTTAAGCGCTCAGTTGCTAATCATAAAGGTTAGTTTTTCTCAGAAAGAGAAAAGACCTGGCGATCTGCTCCTGTAAAGATTACAGCCTTGAAAAACCTATGGTGCAGTTCTCTACTCCGTCCTATACGGTCGCTATGAGTCGGAATCGACTCGATGGCAGTGGGTTTGGTTTAAACGGCTACAACCCAAATGTTCATTTCTGTATATAAACGGAGAAGTACAAATGAGAATCCACTTAACTAGTCCTAAAATAACCTTGGAAACCCTGGTGGCGTAGTGGTTAAGAGCTACAGCTGCTAACCAAAAGATCAGCAGTTCAAATCCACCAGGCGCTCCTTGGAAACTCTACGGGGCGGTTCTGTTCTGTCCTATAGGGTCGCTATGAGTCAGAATGGACTCAACGGCAACGGGTTTAATATACCCTAGATTTCATTTGCATATTTTTTACATTGACATGGACCATGATTTAGTGAGTTATTCTGAAAGATCAGAAAATTCTGAATTAATAGTGTGTTTTAAAAAAAATACTTCTCACAGAGATTTCTGGCAAATTAATTCAATTTTGCACTGTCCTATAAATTGGTTAAGGGCTATAAAACAAGAATGACTTGATAGTGCCTGTGATAGGCTGCTTCTAAAATGGTTCCCAATGATCTCTGGCTCCTAGTATTCACTACCTTGTAGAATCCCCTCCCCTTGAGTGTAGGTTGGACCCAATGACTTGCTTTGATGAATAAAATATTACAAAGTGATGCCATGTCACCTCTGAGATTAGGTTATAAGATTGTGACTTTAATCTTGCTGTCCCTCTCTCTCCCCTTCTCCCTCCCTCTCCCTCTCCCTCTCGTTTCTCTTCCTCTCTCTCTCTCAGGCTCTTCTCATTTGCTTGCTCTGATCAAGCAAGATGCCACACTGCCCTATGGAGAGGCTCACTTGGCAGAATTCTTAGGGAAGCTTGTGGCCAATAGCGAGCGAGGAAATGAGGTCCTTGGTCCAACAACTCTCCAGGATCTGAATAAATGGACTGTATTTTTACACAGATATTGCGTGCCTTCTATGTTTGTTTACCAACTGCACCTGCCCCCTGCAAGGTATTTTCATAGGCACTGCCATGTCAATTTTTTTTTACAAGTTGCTGTAAAAAAAATTAGCGTAGAATGCTTATGAAAATACTTTGAGGGGGGAAGGCGGGTTGGCAAACAAATGTAGAAGATGCGCATTACTGGCCTAAAAATAGTCATTTCGCTTGGAAGCAGAAGATTCCCCAGTCAAGCCTTCACATGAAACAACAGCCCTGACCAACACCTTGATTGCAGCCTTGTGAGAGACCTTAAAGTAAAGGCTCAAAC